GGGGGTCCGGACCGGGGGGGGTCCGGCCGGTTCGGTTCGAACAGCGGGCCGGTTCGGTTCGGCCGGTTCGGTTTGGCCGGCCGGTTTGGTTCGGCCGATTCGGTTCCAGACCCTGTTCTCGGTTCTCGCTTCGGTTCGCGGCCATCATGCAAGCCTTGATGAGCTCTGAACAGTATCAGGAGGGGAAAAAACACAGACACGAAATATCGTCGATCCCCAGGAAAATATGGGAAAATATTGGAAGTGAGGGGGATGACGAAAACCCAGAAAATATGAGAAAATATGGGAATCTTTTTGTTTGTGTTTATCTATCTGTGTGTCCCAGGGCCCTTGCACAGTAGCGCGAAGCCCTGCCAAGACTTGGTGGCCCCTGACAGGGCTCGCCGAGCCCCGCTCGCCCCTCCCGAGCACAGCTCGGCCCAGCCTTCCCAGGCCGTGCCAAGCACGCACGTCCCAGACTTGTGCGTCCCAGGTATGCACTCCACGTTAGCCACACAGGATAGGCACACATATAAACACATTTCTTTACTTATATATATATATATATATATATATATATAAATATATTATATATATTATATATATGTGTGTATATACATATCTATATATAGACATGACGGCGCACCGGGCCCGGGGGCCGAGGGCCGGAACCTCGACCGCAAATGAGGGCACCGGGGCCCGGGCCCGCCTTTGGGAGGCCTGAAATCGCCCCGGGGAACCCTCCGACAGCAATCCCGGCGGCCCCAGACGGTCTCGAGACATCCCCAAGACAAGACGCCGTCCAGGGGTCTTTGGCGACGCACGATGCGTTTGAAATTGCCCCGGAGGCACCCAAGACGCCGCAAAAGGCCTTTAAGATGCCGCCCAAGAGCGCCCCGAGAGGACAAAATCGTTGATTTTCATAGTTTCGGTGTTTCGGGTTTCCGGCGCTGTAGCACTGCCCAAGAGGCCCCCAAAACTGGTCCAAGGCGGCCCAAGAGGCCCCCAAGATGGCCCCAAGACGGCCCAAGAGAGCCCCGAGACGGCCCCAGAGCCGCCCAAGACGGTGCAAGAGTGTCCCAAGGCCCCAAAAGGAGCCCAAGAGAGGGAACGCGAAATGACAAATCAAGCTCTCCGCCCCAGGATGCCCCCAAGAGGCCCCAAGAGGCCTCCAGGAAGCTCCCAAGAGGCCCCACGAGGCCCCCAAGAGGCCGCACGATGCGTTTCAGATTGCCCTGGAGGCCCCCAAGACGCCTTAAGAGGTTTTGAAGATGTTGCTTAAGAGCGCCCCGAGAGGGCAAACCTTTGATTCTGATTTTTTTAAACATGTTTTGTTGCATTCTCGCTGTTTCGTGCCTCCGGCGCTAAAGCACCGCCCAAGAGGCCCCCCAAACCGCTCCAAGACGACCCAAGAGGCTCCCCAAGAGGGCCCCAAGACGGCCCAAGAGAGCCCCGAGACGGTCCCAGAGCCGCCCAAAACGGCGCAAGAGGGTCCCAAGAAGGCTCCAAAAGGGGCCCAAGAGAGGGAACGCGAACTGAAAAATCAAGTTCTCCGCCCCAAGATGCCCCCAAGAGGCCCCAAGAGGCCCCCAGGAAGCCCCCAAGGGGCCCCAAGAGGCCCCCAGGAAGGTCCCAAGAGGCCTTTAAGATGCCGCCTACATGTCTGCAATCTGAGCTCTAGCATGGGACCGTTGGGCTCGCTCCTGCACCGTAGGATCTGTCCTCGCTCGGGCTCCTCCAGTTGCTTTGTAAATTTGGTCATTGTAGTTTTGCCACCCAGCTTCTCGACCGTAATGATGCATCTACGAGCTCCGACACAGATGGGGAAACACTGTACGGCCTTCCCTCCGCCGTGAGGTTGCGGGGAACTGGGCTTGGGCCTCTGCCTTGGACCGACAAGGCTCGCTGCGCTGCTCTTCCGAGCGCTACTCTCCTCAACATTGCTAGAGAGCGCCAACGTCGTGGCATTAGCACAGGCCTCCGCCCTCCACTCGAAGCAATGCTTGCAGAACGTGTTGGATTCGGAACTCTTCTTGCAACCGCAGAGCCCGCATTGCCGTCAGGCTTAACCAAAGTCCCATGTGACCCTTTCTCTATGCCCTGCTCCGCGGGATTGCAGGCGCCGCGTCTGGGGACCCCGCGCGCCACGCACACCACTTTCCCGACGGACTTCGTCTCTGTGCTCGCGCTCCCGCCATGGGGCTTGAGACCTGCGCCACTCGGGCTTGGACACTGCGCAGGACGAATAATAATCGCACAGCGTTTCTGGTGCCGTCCTGCTCCGACGGAACACCAATAAGATTCACCACCTACCAAATCACCCCAACCCAACCCGAAGGCCTCAATTTGCCCTCCATTTCCAGTGGGGGGGGGGGTCGGGGAATGTTGAAAATTCACATGGGGCCCGTACCCCCCCCCCAACCCGGGTCTTCGGGTTGGGTTGGGGTGGTCTGGTAGGTAGTCAAAAATCAGAGCGATGAGATTTAGCGCGGCCAGAACACGCAAGGCCAGCTGACACTCC